CGAATTTTACCTTATCCGATTCAGAGCAGGCACAAATTTCGAAAATAGATTCGATTTTCTTGACCCATCGGGTTAGGGAAATGACACCTCCAGTGCCATAGAAAGATGTGGGTTTCTCATTCATAAAGTCTTTCGAGGAACACTCCTTCCGGTGTCCCTGGCTACCTTGTTGGTTTTGAGGTTGGGTACCACCTCCTAAACCACCGGAGCCACCGGAGTTCATTTGAGACATGGCGGTTGCCACTGCGGCAGGAACAACTGCCTGGAACATTCACATGATCAACTTGAGGAGGAGGTGGTGGCGGAGGATTGTTGTTCTTTCAGCTGGGTCTCTTTCTTGGAGGCATCTTGATCTATAATAGCCAGGAAAGAGAGGATCATAAGTCCTCTGAATTGAATCAAGAGATATGGAACAAGAAATATCTCTTTATGACAGATATAAAGAGATAAAACAGGAAAGTGTTATTAAAGCAGATAAATTATCGCTAAGGAAGGAAGGAGTAGCATCACTCTGAAGGAATTTCTACAAAGTACTCGGCTCTGGCTAAAATACTCCCATAGTATTTTATGTTTTGTTGTATCGATGAATCATTGTTCGGATCTTACGTACGTTTTAGGCATGTTTCACACCACAGTCACTCCCAAGCACATGTTGGCTGTGTCTCAAATAAATATAGTTGATCAGGCTATATTGACCCTATACACGACTACATAACTGCCCAGGTTTAAGCGCAACACACAAAACCCAATTACTTATGTTTTGTTCTACTCGTAGTTACGGTTTCCGATGGTTAGGTATACTTGTATACTTTTTGAAAATACTTATATTTTTAAAGTATACTTTTAGTTCAAAGCGCTTTGGCCCCTTAATGATTACAGTCTTATACCATGTAAGGTTTGGTATACTAGTTCACTATAAACAAGGGCTCTGATACCAATCTGTCACACCCCGAAACCGATGGCGGAAACATTTCGGGGCGGAGGATGTCATGTAAGTATCACAACCAATGTACATAGTAAGCATAGTAAAAATAAAACATTACATTACATATGAATAATTACATTTGTTTGAAAGTAAAGTAATACATGTTTATCTATACATAAGTTTGAACAAAAGTAAAGACGTGTCTTCTAAAACGCTTCGTCTTCTCCAAAAGATTTGTGGGTACCTGTCTAATGTCGACCTGAGAATACAAGCAGTTTAACAATCAACATAATGCTGGTGAGTTCATAAGTTGTTTTTTTATGTAAAAAGATCATGTTTCCTTTGGTTGTTCTGAAAAGTTGTTATTCAAGAAAATCCCATATTTTCTAACATGTTTGTCGATTTCCAAAAGAGAGACCCTGATTATCACCATTACGATAAGAAAAACCTTAAGTTAAGATCATTGGACTACCATCCAGTACGATAAGAAAACCATAAGTTGAGATCATTGGACTACCATCCAGTACGATAAGGAAACCATAAGTTGAGATCATTGGACTACCATCCAGTACGAAAGAAAACCATAAGTTGAGATCATTGGACTACCATCCAGTACGAAAGTAAGTAGTCTTATTACATAAATAAGACTATAGAAGAAAGAAAGAGAATAAATATGTGAATAAAACTATTTAGTTTAATACATAGTGTCAGTCGGATAACCATGCTAATATGACAACGAGACCTCCATGATGTTTCCAGGCGTCAGACGATATCTAGAATTTGTCACCCCAGGCGTGCCCGCCTAATTGTAGCTAGAAGTTAAGGTGTGGGATTGTCAGTCCCGAATAGATCTATTCACAAATTCCACGCTCTCCCTCCAGGAGACTTTGGTTATACTTCCGAGGAGGATTTACGGATAACCCGAAGGGTTTAATGAAGATAAATCTCACAAGCTAGTATTAAATTATTCACGGTATACTTGGTCGTTATCAAACATCATAGTCATTTTGAAACATAATACAGTAAAAGTAGTTTAATACAATGAAATTATCTGGCATGATACTCTAAAGTAAACAGAGATAAATTGAATCAGACATAGTTTATCTATTAACTTTGCATGAAATCTGTGTCTGTAAAATAAGAACTGAAGATCCCAAATTATTCCCATAATAATTTGATTGGTTTGATTGTTTCCTTTACTGTAATTGAAATCCATGTGGTTATATTCGATAAAACATCCCTTATGCTCCGCATAATACATAAAGGGTAAAGATATCTAGAAGTTTTCCAGATATTTATAGATTTTCATCAGTTTTAATTTTCGAAAACATTTATAGTTTTCTTGTATTCCCCCCAGAAAACATTGAAAAACACGGAAAAACATAGGGGTATGAACTCACCAGTCGAGAAGTGTGTCGGTTGGACGCTATGTGTTAGTTCGGGGCTTGAGAATGCGCGAGGTTCCTACACTACTAGAAAAACAGCCTTTTACGACGCTCATTGCGCGTCGTAAAAGGCTCAGACGACGCGCAAATGCGCGTCAAGGAAGGCCCTGTCATAAAGAGAGACGACGCGCTTTTGCGCGTCGTCTATAGACGACGCGCAATTACGACGCGCGTTTACGACACGCAATGCATATCAAGGAAGGCCCTGTCATAAAGGAACACGACACGCATTCGCTTGTCGTAACCTTACGACGCGCGTATTAATGACACGCAATGCGTATCAAGAATGCCCCTGTCAAGAAAGGCCATGTCATAAATAAAGATGACACACATTTTTGCGTATCGTAAATTTAAATATTTAATATATATATATATATATATATATATATATATATATATATATATATATTTATTAATTTTTAAATTAAATTTGCATTCAATGTGTCATAATAGAAATAAAATATGATATACAAAAAAATACAATCCGTTGAATAAACTTTAATGTCATACAATTCTATTTCTTACAATATATAAATTTGCATTCATCTAATCTACTCTATGTTTCATACTAACAATTGAAATGAAGAATACAACACTTGCATTTTCAGCATCTTATCTCTTTCGGCTTGAGCTTTCTTTTCCACTTCTAACTCGAGAGCTATTCGCTTTCATCAACCCTGTAAACACAACACAAAATCGCTTGTCATTTTCATTCGCTTTCCAATTTCCGTTGTGTGTTTAAACAATGACAATCAAAATGACAAGAATACCCTCATACAAATTGTAAATATTACCTTTAAAGCTATCAACAATGACAATTCTTGATCCTATGAACTAGAGAGTATATCATCACAATTCCATCTAACACCACCCATAAGAACCCGTAAAGCTATCAACAATGGTAATCCCTGTTTCAATTCTTTTTTATAAAGGTCATTTTTCATAATGTTTATGAGTTATAAATACGTGTGTGTATGTTAAGGTGTTTTTTTTTTGTTATACACAAACAGCAACACACAGGCACACACATAAAAAAAAAGTAACAAATAAATGATGTATTGCGGAATATAGCATTATCCTTTCATAGCAGTGTACTTTAAGTTTTTGTCAATTATAGCATTGAACTTTTGTTCTCTCTCTCTCTCTGTATATATATATATATATATATATATATATATATATATATATATATATATATATGGTTAGAAATAACAGTAATATGAAACTTGCAAAGAGAAAGAGAAAAAGTCAACTCACTTGGTCAATTGCAAAATGAGCAGGTTTATCTTTTACAAGAGACAACTCTTCCCTCAAGCGAACACCACTCCAACAGAAGCATGTGTGGTAGTGATTCTCGTTTGAACCAAATCATATAAAGATGAACCTTCAGGCATTGTTACTGAATCTGCATCCTTCATCCTCCCAACAACAACAACTTCACCAAGTGGAATGGGATCAAATATCTTACAAGGCAGCTTCATTAGAGATGATTCGTTGTATTTCAAGAAATCCTGTAAATTAACAAGAAATACATATGATTTATTAACTTGTCAATTGCATGTTGAAAGAAGTTTTGTAACTAAACGACCAACTAAAACATTAACAGGAACGACTTTTATCATGGAAAGCAACACTTTAAGGCACGAATCATCATCATGACTGTACTCCACGAGGGATTCCAAAAATACCCCTAGAAACTTTTCAAATTTTGGACTCCTTGGTTAATCCAGAAAGAACCCCCGAAAGATCCATTTATCACAAAATCAAAACCATGTTCAGGAAACATAAAGAAAAATAAAAACTTTGAATTGTCAAAATAAAGAAAAAATTTATCCTTTGAGGCCTACCTATTTTCCTTCAAGATATTAACAGCCTTTTTAGGGAGCACTTCCACAGATTGCAACTGCCATGTAAATAAGAAGGGTATAAATTAACTGCATAGAGTTACGGATAAACAACATATGGCAAGCAAGAATACCTGTACTGGCCTAACATTGTCGTGATTAAATTGCATTCTCTGTTATACCTTGTAATAGATAAGAAAAACTGTTAATTGATGATCCTACTATAATTTTGCACTTCATAATGTAAAAGTTAAATCAATTACTTGGTTATAACCAGCAGGGGTAGCTGAAGCATACGGTCCATAGCTTCCCACCATTCCAATATTCCCTGTATTGCTTCCTAGCTTATATTGTGGAAGCGGGTATTTAGAATTAGAGGTGGTAGCCACTGGTGGTGGTGATGCTGGATACATGCCTCCGCCGCCTTGTTGTGGTTGTTGTGGGAATGTCTCATTGCTTAAAAACTGATGGATAGCAGGTGGTGGAGGGACATAAAATGGGGAGAAATATGGACCGTATGGGATGTAATTTGGAGGGTAATGTGGTAGATGAACCCTTGGTGGCTGCCGGAAAACAGGTAATGGTTGTTGAGTGACGGATATGGAGCTTTGCATGACTCCGGCGGTTTGTGTGGCGGTTGTTGGTGTTGGACTGGTGGTGGATAGCATTAGTGAGTTCCCGACCTGTGGTTTCAATTAATTAGTAAATAGAGGCATATATATGGTTAAATTTGTTGGCATTTAAGAAACAAACCTCTTGAGAAGAGTGAGAAGGTTGTTGAACATTTCAATTGTACTTTGTGGTTGAGTGGAAAGGTGACATGCGCCCATCACTCTCACGATAAAGGTGAGCATAATAGCTTGCTGGATCAAACGGTTGCTGAACCTGTAAATAATTTTCTCAAAAAAATCATTTTCTTTTTTAATTAATTAATTAATGGATTATAAATAAATAAATAAATAAATAAATAAATAAGGGTGGTAGGGTCTTACTACAAAGCTTGGGACATGAGAAGCATCGTGTGCCTGAGACTTGGTGTTTTCAAAAGATGTAACTTGGCTTCCAATCATTGGTGCCATGAACCCAAAACTGAAGTTTGGATTTGGTGATGTATGAACGGCTGGGTATTGATGACTTGGAGTAGGGAGTGAAGAAGAAGAAGAAGAAGTCTCTTGCTTCGACTCTCTGCACTCGGGTCCCGCATTCAATGACATGTCACCTTCTGTTGGTAAATTCTTGGGTACATTAGATGAAGATGTGGTAGGTTGTTCAAGATGATCCTCCTCTCCATCAGCATTTTCATTTCTGAACCACTAAAGTGCATACATTTATCAGAAAATGTTGTCTACTCCAATATGAAATACAACCTAAGTAACAGAAACCTGGATTGCATTTGATCCTCTATAGTTTCATCAGCCTCCTCAGATGCTTCAGACGTCTTTTCACTCATGGTCATAGCCACAGGACCATTTGAGTTTGAGGGGGTTTTATTAAAACCAAAAATGGCATCAAAACTCCCAAAACAGAAGCCGAGTTTTTCGGCTTCAGGAACATGAAGGTGATTTGGGATAATGACATGTTTATCATCTGAAATGTGGGACTCCTTCAGCTTCTTCTCAAGTTCATCCTCCTATGAATCAAGATTAGTGGAGGATGCAGAAGAAACTATTGTTGGAGTATGAGCTTCAACTAGAACCACAACCACAAGCACCTTAATTGACCTTTGACTTTGAGAAATTGGTTTCGGTTTCCATTCCATGCTAGGACCAACCGTAGGAAATCACAAACAAGTTTATCAGTGTCTTGATACCTTTTTGAGGTCCAATTGCTTGTTGCATCCTATTATTATAATTTGATGAAGGCCTGGAAATGGATAAGGAGACAGCTGTCGTTTCACCTTCCTTCTTGTTTTTTCATAGAGATTCTCTAGATGAAAATCTTGTTCTAAAAGAATTGTCACTGCAACATCCTGGAAAGTAGTGGAGTTTGTAAAGTTTTAAATGAAAAGACCAAAATACCCTCGTTACATATATAATAATAAAAGGAAAAAGGTGTATTACTTACAGAGCCATTCCAATCAGCACAATGAACAATACCAAAAGAACCAGTGCAAATGTTGGTCTCGCTGCCTAGTCAGTGAATCGACTTCTCCCCTTCACAATTCTGTAAATCCTTAAATTTGAACCTTAGTACAGGTTCTTGCCTCCTTTAAACTATAAAGAGTCAAACCCCCTGAATTTCCAAATATGAAAGCGAATTGCTTAATAAATAAATAAACCAGTATCACATAATCAAACTAAAGTGACCTTGATTAAAGTCAAAATAGATTAAAGTCAAATGTCAAAGTGAATTGATTAAAGTCAAAATACATGCAAAATCGACCTTGAGATCGATTATGAGAGGCTAAATAAAATCGGAATGCAAAAGATGAGAATTAGAGTGAAGATGATAACGTCAGTATACATTAAGAATCGCTCCCACATACTTCTTATTGGAGGAGGAAGCAGCTCATCTCCAGGAGCGCCATCTCCAACGCAAATCAACCCACATCCTTCTTATTGGAATCCTTTGTCTTAGAGAATAGAGATGAAGGAGGGTAGGAAGCGATATATAGGGTTCGAGTGTGAGAGAGAACCGTTATTGCATCACCAATGATCAGATTTCATTAGACGCACTCCAAACTCAACCTGAATTCGGATCCTTCGAAGGCACCAGTGGGAGGTATATGTTTTCCCTAGATCCTGAACTCCCACCGGATTTCTTCCCAGCCTTCATGCTCTTCCATGGGTCGACTTTCTTCCCTTTGCCACTCTGATTACACAAACGTACCTGCGAGAGTCGGTCCTCAAAAATTTCAGTCTCGAGTGATTCGGAGGTGGGACCACCGGTAGAGGAAGAATCATCGAGCGTTTCTTTCGTTTTGAAGGAGAAGGTTAGGGGCAGCGGTGCGTGGGATCTGAGTGGGGATAGAGGGATTGGTGTTTCGATCTTGAACTGGTATCTTGAGATGGCGGAAGTGTGTGCTTAGGTTTCTAGATGCACTCCAAACTCTTAAAGCTTATCGGGTTCGATGTTGGTGGTGGCAGCTTAGGGCTTAGAGAGAGAGAGAGAGAGAGAGAGAGAGAGAGTATAGAGGTAAAGGAATACGAGTCGATTCAAAAGGATGTGTTGATTCAAAAGGATTATTAGGGTTCTATTGTAGGATTCTAGTGTGGATTGAGTTTTTAAGGCTCAATGGCGGTGGCAGTGGCGATGGCTTAGGGTTTACAGAGAGAAGGAAGGAGTGAATGAAAAGGGAGATACTGAGGAGAAAGGGTAGAAGCGGGGTTCTTCAAAATTTTAGAATTTCAGACGATTTCATTTTCCCCCTTTAAAAACGCGCGTTTAGGAAAAAAAATATAAAGCGACACATTTAGAGGACGCACACTTTATGAAAGGCGCCCTCCGCATTTCTTTTTTTTTTCTTTTCTTACACTAATTTTAGGGCACGCACAAATGCGCGCCCTCTATCCTTCAAATTTTGCAAAGCTGACATTATTTTTTAGGGCACGTACAAATGCGCGTCGTCTATCAGAGAGTGTCATTGTTTGCGCGTCATTAAAGGTCTATTTTCTAGTAGTGCTATGTAATAATATCAAGAGATATATAATTGTATCTAATTAGACTTTGAACCACTAATTAGATAAGAGTAAACACTTCTAGACGCGAAAACACTTCAATTCAAGTGTTTGGTGTGACCCGGGTAGCATTTAAGGGTGTGTAAGGCTTAGATATGGAGTTTGCACTTCAAGAGTAAACTCCTAAAGGAGTTTACAACCCAAATGACCAACTCCCCATGAGTTTACGGCCGTAAACTCATGGTGGGTGTTCTTGGTTGCTAAGTGGCCATATAACAGTTGTGGGGTAATGTTAGGCTTGGTTTTAAGGCATTGGAATGATATTTGAATATCATAGGGACCATTTGAGGAGTTTATGGCTGTAAACCCTTATGTTCCAAGTCTTAATGTTTTTTGGTGGTCCTAGATTAATCACATGTGGTTCCAACTCATTTTACAAGTCATTGGATGAAGTTAAGGCACCATTTGACCAAGTTATAGGAGTTTACGGCCCAGGAACCCATCCTTGGGGGGTTTACAGCCGTGAACTCCTAAGGGAGTGGTTTTTATAGAGTTTAAAGTGCCTAACACATTTGTGGTTGCTTCTAGACATGGTTCCAAGGCTTAGAAGGTGTTTAAGGGGCATCTTAACACCTTGAAAGGTGTTTACGGCCCATGAATTAGTGATTACGGTCCCAGCATGTGCTTGGGCTGTAACCTCATTTTTACCCCTTAAATGATGAGTTTTTGGTGTTCCAAGTCCAGTAGTGTAAGCCCTTAATTCATATCTAAGCTCCAAAGGTGGTTTGGAAGGGTTTTAAGGCTCAAAAACCCCATTTGTATGTGTTTACTGCCTCAGGCTGTTCCAGGGCCGTAAACACATGTTTATGGTCCTATTTAATAATCTAAACACGAATTTGAAGGCTAAAGATGTTAATCTATGAGCGAGGATAGTTATCTTACCGATTTGGAGCTTGATTTGGATGATTTTTGGATCAAACTTGGGTTTCTAGTGAGAGTGTAGAGAGAGAGAGAGAGAGGAGAAAAGATTCAAATGAGACCTAAATCAACTTTATACATGGTTTGGGTTTGGGGCTCGGTGGAATTCTACCCGATACTGACGTTGAACGGGGCTTTTGGTCGTACCCAATTTGGTTACTGTAACCCGATGTGGTCGAAACTTATAATTTTTCCAAATAAATATTTGAAATGTTTTCACGCAATTCTAATGTTTTCCGACACTAATAATGTCAAAATGAGAAGTCCCCATTGAATTAATCTAAAACAAAGTTAACGGAAAAATTGGAACGCAACGAATTTATTAACGGAAACGGGTTACAGTGACGGAATAAATTACGGGTTGTCACACATGTGAACTTTGGTTCAAGAAAAAGTAGAATCTAAGTTATTTTCGACTTTGGGGATCTCGGGCAGCTGTAAAACTCACTGAGCCCAAAATAAAAATTTTGAGAAAACATGAAATTGATTGTATATTATTTGTATATGGTAAACATTTCAATGCATATAGCTTTTATGTAACAAAACCTAATGATTCAGATTCGATTAACACTGTTATCGAATCACGGTATGCAACTTTTCGTGAGATGTGTTTTTCATCGATTGAAAGGCTGAAGGATCTGACTTTTGGTACTAATAAAGTGTAAAAATTAGAAATTCTAGATGGTGGTGATATGCAAGTACCATAAGAGCTTCGTAGAAGCAAAAGAGACCAAATTGGGAAAAATTTTAGATCCAACTTCCAACTATATTTGGTAGAAGGTTCAAGGGATTAAATTAATCTTGAATACAACTATTGTTATAGAACTGAATATGATCCTAATACATATGAAGAGGCCATGGAGTCTCGTGATAATGTGTTTCGAAAGGAAGCAATTGATGATGAAATGTCATCAATTCTTGAGAACAACACATGGATGTTGTCTAATTTGCCTCTAGGTTCTAAACCACTTGGTTGGAAATGGATTTTAAAAAAAATGAATTTTAATGGGACTATTGACAAATTCAAAACCCAGTTATTCATTCAAGTTTTTAGACAAAAACCCGGTGTTGACTATTTTGATACGTATACTCCGGTTGCACGTATTTCTACTATTAGACTGTTGATTGCCTTGGAAACTATCGAGAATCTAGTTATTCACCAAATGGATGTGAAAACAACATTTTTAAATAGTGAACTTGACGAGCAGGTTTACATGAAACAACCATAAGGTTTGATTATGTCTAGTAAAGAGCATATGGTTTGTAAACTTGTCAAATCTTTGTATGGGCTAAAACAAGCGCATAAAATATGGCATCAAAAGTTTTATGAGGTTATTTTGTCTTCTTGTTTCAACAAAAACCAATGTGAAAATGCCTTTATAGTACATTTGATGATGCTACTAGCCTTAGAGTGATCATTTACTTATATGTAGATGATACGCTGATTTTTTATACCGACAAAAATCAAGTACATGAAACAAAGAAATTGTTATCGTCTAAGTATTCCATGAAAGATTTGGGAAAGGTTGATGTAATTCTTGGAATAAGAATTAAAAGGATGAACAAAGTGTTGGTAATCACTAAAAGTCATTATATTGAGAATATTCTCAAACGGTTTAATATTACCGATTCTTCTCCTATTATAACTCATATAGATCCAAGTGTGAAATTAATTCCAAATAATGGTGTTCCCATTTCATAATTGGAATACACTAAGGCTATTGGTAGCTTGATGTATAACATGACAAGTACCAGACCTGATATTGCTTTTATTGTGGGCAAGTTGAGCAGGTATACTAGTAATCCTTGTGCTCAACATTAGGAAGAAGTGAATCGAGTGTTTAGGTATCATAAAGGAACCATGGATTCTGGTTTAAGTTACTTGGGGAGTCCATCGGTTTTAGAAGGTCATTCAGATGCAAGTTGGATAACCATCATGGAGGACCATTCCTCAACCTCTGGTTAGGTATTCTTACTTGGGAGAGGTATCATTTCTTAGGCTTCCAAAAAGAAATCTTGCATAACAAACTCAAGAATGTAATCTGAGTTTGTTGTGTTAGCAGTTTTTTGTAAAGAAACAGAGTGCCTAAGGAATGTATTCTATGAGATTCCTTTGTGGTCTAAACCAATAGCAACTATTTCTATCATTATTGAAAGTACAACCACTATGGCTAAGGCGTACATCCATGTTTATAATGGCAAGTCTAGACACCTAGGTGTTAGATATAGTATGAATAGAGAACATATCATGAACGGTGTGATTATTGGTGTGTTTGTGAAATCATAACAGAATTTGGAAGATCACTTGACTAAAGGTCACACCAGAAACTTAGTGCACATGTCTATGACCGGGACGGGATTAAAGTCCATTTAATTTTGTAATTATGAGACAACGAATTCCCTCCTAATACAATGTTAGGATTTGAATTTCAGTTTGGAAATCTAACCTTGTAGATTGGAATACATGAAGTGTCCATCCTATATATGTGTTCGGTTCTGCAAGTTAGCCAGGTTGAAGTTTAACTTCTTAATAATTCCTTTAATAAATGTATGTGCAAATACATGGAAGGGAATTACCTACGTGATTGTGAAGTGTATCTGAATTTCAAGAGGTTGTGGACTTGACCACGATACGATCATTAGAGGATTGGGACACATGGCCTTATAATATTGTCAAGTTGTATATTGCTAGAAATTCAATAAACTAGTATGTCCGGGGTTTCCAAAGTGGCAGTTCCCCTTTGGCGGTATCTAAGGTCAGCACCCCTAGCGGGGTCCAAGGGGCAGAGCCCCTGGCTGGGGTTCCACTGATTTCCTCATTAAAATTCGAATTTCCCTAAATCATGTTTATTACATAAAAGGCTCTTCTCTTTGAGAAGAGGTATGCAACTTTTAGATCTCTTTTCTTCATACGAACACAGAATCGTTCTAGCAATTTGGCTAACGATTTCTGTGACTAGATTCGTATGTGTCCTCTTCAATTATCCTTTGTTGAATTTCATGCAACTCAAGGATAGAATAGAATTACTAGTTCATAAATTTTTCACACGATAGAACAGGTATCTAGATCTCCAACATAAACCCTAATTCTTCTAATAGATTAAGCATGATCTCATGTTGGATGCAAGTGATCATTTGAGTACTATACGCTTATAAATTGGCGGGATAGTTTAACTCTCTAGCCGGGATTAGGGATAAGAGTGGGACGGAACCTGTACCAACCCATACTGTTCCGATTTCCCAAAAACCGAATTTGGTCAAAAATTAATCCCGAGTACCGAACCGAATTAACATCACTGGTACCAGTATCGGTTTTCGGTACTAGTACCGGTACAAAAACCGGTACATGTGATATCGATTCCCGAATTTCATGTATTTTGAGAACCAAGTACCATCCTATAGTTTTAAATTTGGTACGGTTCGGTACCGATTCTGGTACGGTACCGGTATAAAAACTGCACATCCCTAGTCGGGATGTGGCCTGAAACCATTGTATCTTTCTCGATGGTCAGACTTGGATGTTAAGTGGGAATGAAGCATTTAGAGATCTTCCGGATTAGTATTTCTTTTATTGATGGTGTGCATACAACTATGATTCATCATTTTGTCATTTGTTATTGTGTTAGTTTTCCCCGAATTCTCGGAATGTACACCTAACATTTAGATTTTCCAAGATAATTAAAAATATTAAGTTATACCATTATCGTAATCAACTTTATCTTTAGTAAATAAAAACTGCAATATATATATATATATATATATATATATAGAGTTTGATAAGTTTGTTATCCTCTTAGACTATGTGGAGTCATCTCAACAAGGTACTTAGCAAAACCAACCTAGAAACAAGCACTATCCCATAACCTCAACATGCCAAGGTTCAACGGTCCATTCGGCATAATTCTTCTAGGTCTGTCTCCTCTTCCAAATCCAATCAACA